GAGTTGTGGAAATATTTCCACAAATTTTCGCACTACATCTCCGCAGATTAAGCGAGTGTCAAGAATCAATTGAGGGATAAAGTTTCGTACGCCCTCATATGGTCAGGCCTAATAGAATTAATAGCACTTGATATAAGCACACTATGTGTGCACATCTCCAGCTCCCAGAGAGCGGGCCAAGCTTATGCGAGCTACTTACTGAAGCGTCAAATAAAGTTAATTAAAAATGTAGTCCATGCATCGACGCCTGGCAAGGAGCGGGCACAAAGCCCAAAGACGGCAGCCAGCAGAGAAGGAGAGTTAGTGAGTGAGTGAGAGAGAGGGGGGGAGAGGAGAAACGCAGAGCTGAGACCAGAGGCGAGACCCGTTTCCATAACGGATGTCGCGCATTATGAACACTTGAGGAAGCAGCCGTGGAGACGGCGATTGGTAGACTTTACACTTGCAGCCAAGTGTAAACAATTTAATGAGGTGCAAATAAAAGCAGCGCAAGACCCGCGCCAAAAAATACGCCGTGAATCGTGTGTGTTATGATTGATATATGAATTTGAATTTATATATACATATACATATATATATTTAGCTGCATTGAGTTGTGGCAATATGCTGACTCGGGGAGATGAACTGCAATGCGAGCTGCGATTGTTCGTGGCTAGTCGAGCGTGGCTAAAGGCTGCACGGGTTAAGAATCAAACCCACAATCAATAACCCGCTCGGCGCTGCCATAGAATATGTTTTGCCTAATTTTTGGTATATCGCTGTGGTTTTGTTTTAATTGCGACCCGCTGACTAAGCAGCCACAATGACGGCTCCCCGTGTGTGAGAGCTTTTTGGGAGAAATGTACTTAACTTAAAATGGAGAATAAAATTAGAGTCGAGTAAGTGATGGGGTTAGGGCCACGCCTTAGCGTCTCCGCTGCGTTTGTTTGTATTGCCACAAATAATTTACAGTTGGCCGCACAGCCATGGGGCGTATGCTTGATATTATAATTGATAACCCGTTGCTTATTTGCATACACGTCCCTAACTGAACTCTATTGTTTTCCCTTCTTGATTGTTGCAGAGTCCGCGTGGCATGCAACCGTGTAGTCCATCGGGTGTTGTCGCTATGATGCCGCCATCGAAGAGTCCCATCATGGAAACCGCCGCCAGCGATGGCAACCAGACAGCTGGCAGCGATGCCAAGCGCGCGTGTCCCCTCAAGTTCTCCATTGCCAAAATCATGGAGCCGGACCACAAGCAACCATCCCAACAGCAGCAGCAGCAGCAGCAACAATTGCAGCAGCAGCCACAACAGCCACAGCAATCGCTGCCTCCGGAGGAGGAGCAGCGCGATTCGTACGCCGACTCGGAGCGCTCCTGCAGCCCCATCGAGGTGACTGGGGACGATGAGGAGCCCGCTGCCATGACGGCCATCAATTACGACTCGGCCTTCAAGAAATATGTGCCTGGCTCCAGCCTGTGCTCTGCCCCAGCTTCGGGTGCAGTCTCAGCCTCGGCCTCGGCTTCGGCCTCGGCCTCGGCCAGCGCCGTGCAACAGTTTGTGAGCACGCGGCACCAGGAGCTGCTCTCGCAGTATCCCCTGCTCTACTATGCGCCCAATCAGCTGATGTGCGCCGCTGCCGCGGCTCAGTACGCCGCGCTGACCGCTCAGCAGCAGACGTTGGCCAGCGCCGCCCACATCAGCAGCTTCACAGCCTCGCTCAATGCCACGCTGCATCATTCGCAGACGCTGCGACGCAACCTGGGCCATCCGCTGGCTGCGGCCGCTGCTGCTGCTGCAGTTGCTCAGTCCGCCCAGCCGCTGGCGACGCAGCAGAGCCTGGAGAAGAGTCCGATGCGCACGCCCCATGCCACGCAGCACGCGAATCTCAAGCGCAAGCGCTCGCCGCCGGGCGAGGTGACAACGCCGCCATTGCCACTGACATTGCCGCTGCCGCCGGCCGTGGCTGGAGCGGCAAGGCCAGGCTCGCGCTCGCCGTCGCCGCACGGCTCGCTGGAGGACAGCAGCCCGGGTTCGGCCAATGGCGGCAAGCCGAAGACGTTCTCGTGCTTGGAGTGCGGCAAGGTGTTCAATGCGCACTACAATCTGACCAGGCACATGCCGGTGCACACGGGCGCCCGCCCGTTCGTGTGCAAGGTGTGCGGCAAGGGGTTCCGGCAGGCGTCCACCTTGTGCCGGCACAAGATCATCCACACCTCCGAGAAGCCGCACAAGTGCCAGACCTGCGGCAAGGCGTTCAATCGCAGCTCCACCCTGAACACCCACGCCCGCATCCACGCCGGCTACAAGCCGTTCGTCTGCGAGTACTGCGGCAAGGGCTTCCACCAGAAGGGCAACTACAAGAACCACAAGCTGACCCACAGCGGCGAGAAGGCCTACAAGTGCAACATCTGCAACAAGGCCTTCCACCAGATCTACAATCTCACCTTCCACATGCACACACACAACGACAAAAAGCCGTATACGTGTCGCGTGTGCGCCAAGGGCTTCTGCCGCAACTTCGATCTCAAGAAGCACATGCGCAAGCTGCACGAGCTGGGCGGCGACTGCCTGGACGACGATCTGCCGCCGGCCTACGAGCGCCGTCGGGAGTACACGCGTCGCGAGCCACTCTCGAACTACAGCCAGGCCAGCCAGCTGACGCCGGACTCCTCGTCGGGCAGCCTCTCGCCGCCCATCAATGTCACCACGCCGCCCCTGTCCAGCGGCGAGGCCAGCAACTCGGCCTGGACCCGGACGGCCTACCAGGAGACGGCCACGGCCACTCACTTTCATCATCTGCAGGCGCCAGCTGTGGGTCTGCACGGCGACTACCCGGCCAGCTCGCCGTTCCTGCAGCTAACGCATCCTGCACAGCAGCAGCAGCATCACCAGCAGCAGCAACAACAACAGCAACAACAGCAGCAGCAGCAGCAGCAGCAACGGCTGACAGCCGCTGCACTGGAGAATGTGCCGTTCATAGCGAAGGTATTTTGACAGAGATACTATGCCGAAAACCTGGCCAGTTGCACGGCAACCTCGATGACGAAAGCCAAGTCTGGCAGCGACTTGCTCATCGACTGACTGCAGTTCGTGACGGCAGCAGCCACAGCCACAGCCACAGCCACATCCACGGATGAGGCTGCTCCGGCGGAGAGCAGCGGCACGACCCTGGGCAATGCTGTGCGCGCTCTCAATGGTCTATTCTAAATGCTTAGCCTCCCACCAAATGGTTTCAACAATAACCTGTGCAATAAACATTCCAATCGAGAATCTTTTCTTCTACAGCACCTTAGGCTAACAAGAACAAGAACAAGAACAAGAAAACAAAACAACAGCAACAATAGTTATATATACATATATCTATATCTATATATACCTTTATATAGTATGTGTGATTTGAAGAGCAAATTAATGTCGATTTTATTTATACAACAAATTGTAAATAGTTTATTGAACTTTGCGGATACTCGGATTGTGTATCTGTCTCTGTCTCACTTAAGTGTACGTGTACTAAATCTAGTTAGTTCGAAATGTAATCTAGACTCTGCGAAATCTAAATGTCAAAAGATAAAGAAGAAGAAGAAAAACAAAAAAAAAAAAAAAAACAACAAGAATTTCATCATCATTACTAAGTATATGTATTTATATATATTTATGTATTTATGAATTGGTTGAAATGGAATCAAATTTTATCGAAATCATTGAAATTGTTTAGCACTAAGCGAAATTATTGATAATGTTTAAGCAATAAATCAATTCTTCAATATAAATTCGAGTAT